TATTTACTATTATATATTTGTATTTATCATATATAAGTATATAATGATACCAGGATACTAAATATCTTTAAGTGTGTCGAATTCCTAAAGAGAATACAAAAATAACGGGCTCTACACATTCATCATTATATTACTTCATTACTATTTATTACCACGAACTACTAATAGTTCTTGTTTGCATAAAAGTATGTATATTCATACATTTTGTAGAAATAATACATATTGTATGACCAAAATAAGGATACTGAGTAAAGATGTGGCTTAATATCTTTTTATAACTACCATTATGTTCAAATTTTACATTATAGTGACTATGGAATAATATCTATAATTACTTTAGTCACATTTTTATTCTCGTATTTTATTTTAATACTCTATAATATGTTAGGATATATCTTTATTTTATAGTTAGAGGTTATGTTTTTTATTTGAGAATTTTTTGAGTTGAGTTCTTTTCAACCGCATAGAAGACGGGTGTATCCGACCCTGTATATACGAGACCTTATGGGTATGGATCCGTAACATGAGTTCTAGACCCGCTAGTATATGGGTCGGATATGAAACAACATACTCGCTCCGTTCCATTGGACTTGCCAACTTTCTCTTTTTTGTTGTCCCAAAAAACTTTGTCACTTTTCTATTAAAGTAATTGATTTGTGGTTCTGCTCATTTCTATCTTCTCTACACAAACTTTAACCATACAATTTTTACTTTTCCTATTTCTCACCTACTTTGCACTTGACAAAGTCCAGCGGGACGAAGATAGTATAATTTAAGAGAAATGATCCCCAATATGACTAAAATTTTTGTAGTGTACTTATAGGAATGTATCTTTTTAAATACCTAAATAGGACTCTTTTTATGTTGCTTGACAAATTTACCCTCTTTAGTTTATTCGTATGAAATATACCGTTGAGACCCTATGCCGCATCGATCTCGATCGAGTCCCCTCCATTGGTCTTCCAAACAATACATTCTTCCTCTTTCCCAAGGAAACAGAGGAGCATGTGGCTTGGCTTCGTGGAGAATCACAGAGACGGGCAGATGGCGCCGGAGATAGTTGCGATGATGAGATGAGGCATGGCGGAGAAGACCCAGGTGCAGCGACAAACGGCGCACCAGGTCCTTCTTATTCTCCCCTCCATCTCCTTGTGACTGCTAAGGGGTTTATTTTGAGAGGTGCGGCACATTGGATGTTATGGTGTATTGCGGTGCGCGGGTCGGGACATTAGACTGACTGCATTCTCAGGTCGCGAATCACTGAATCAACAAGGCTATTGGCCGTCTCTTGGGCTGCAGGTTGTTGGACGTGGAAAGGGGATGACCTTTTATATTGCGATCCATCGACATTGTAATTTACACAATGGCATCATCATGATATTAAAAAAATGACATTGTAAAAAACATAATCAACAAGGCTATTGGTTGTCTATTGGCTCTCATCGACGACCACTCGGGTAACGACTCACGCCAAAGACAACTCCGGCGAGAACCAGCGGCAGAACGGCAGTGAACGCATCGGCGGTGACTTGCAACCGACAAAAATGAGATAAATTTGGTCGGCAAATGTCTCAGGTAATTGGTGGAAAAACAGGAACTGGTGGTGTTGGAGACGGGAGAGCAGAGTGAGCACGCATGCTAGACTGCTAGAGATGGGAGAGCAGAGTGCGTATGCGGTCAGCATATTTGTAGGGATAATTTTGACCCTTCACTTTAAAATTAGTCCTATGTAGGGTTTAAAAAACTTGTAAGTCCTATTTATGTTCCTAGCTTGTATTTAGGTCTATTTCCCATAATTTAACGGGTCCAGGTTTGGAACACCATGTCCTGGCCCGCACCCGATCTGTGGACAGGCCCTACTAGTTATACTAATATAATATTATTCACTAGTGCTACTGCAACACTACAATGATAAAAAAATGCTAATGACCAAAATTTCGCCCGTGACCCGTCATCACCAGCTACAGTTACCCGACCCGGCCAATATAGCTACTTGATCCCACAGTTAAAGTTATTCGTACCTAGTTATAATTATCCAACCTGGCCAGTTACAGTTACGTGATCCGATCAGTTATAGTTACCCAACCCAACCACCTACACTTACCCGACCTTCGCTACCACCACCACCGACGACCCCGTCGTCGTTCATCCACAGCCCAATGCATCACCCAGCCCCCTCCCTTGAATCACCCAGCCCCCTGCCTTAATCCAGCCCCTGCCCCACCCTAGCTCCTATCTCACCCAGCCCCTCCCATACCACACTCTAGCCCCTGCTTTACCCCCATCCCCCGCCCTAGCGTCGCCCCAACCCTCGCATCAACCCTTGTCGGGGCAATGCATCGATTCATATGGCAATATACTGCATCGGTCATCGTCGTCTTACTGTTCCATCCCCAAACGTAGTTGACTAGAGAAATAAAAGAAGAAGAAAAGTGCAGGAATGGCAAGCAACGACGGGAATAGAAGAAACAACTGACTTGGACGGCAGCGAAGATGGCATTGGCTTGGATGGCAACGAAGATGTCAATGGTTCGGGCAGCGGTGGAGATACCATTGGCTTAGGTGCTGACGACCAACAACAATGGAAATGGCTTGGGTGGTGACAAACTTGGGCTACAAGGACGAAAGAGTTCAAAAAGGAGAGAATATGATTTTAGATTGGGAAAAAGTACAAATATACCCTTGTAGTATGGGTGCGAGAACAAATATACCCCTGTTGCATTTTTCAAAACAAATACGGAGTATACCCCTAAACTATATGTTGAAGCGCATATATACTCCTGAACTTTTAAAAAGTGCAAAAATACCCCTCATGTTCTTATAAAGGAGCAAATTTATCTTTATTGACTTTAAATAGGTAAAATAAATTTCAAAAAAACAATAGGGGTATATTTGTTCCGAAAAATAGAACAAAGGTATATTTGTTCTCACACGCATACTACATGAGTATATTTGTACCTTTTCCCTTTTAGATTTTTGTTTTGTAATTATAAAAGGGCTACATTTGTTTGGTCACACATAATTAGTCTCTTTTGTGTCGAGGTTAAAAACCAGTCTCATTTGTTTGGTCCTCATACTATCACGAAAAAGTCAATTGGATCCTCATACTTAAAAAAAAGAATTTTATCAATTCGGGACCTCAAAGATAGACGAACTATCAATCCGGTACCTGAAAGATTAAATGTATCGGTATATGACCCGAATAGGCGTGGACTCAGGCCGGGCCTAGGCCCGGTCGGGCCGCCGGTTTGTATGACATGGGCCCGGGACCGGCCCGAGGGTTGGACGGGTCCGGTTCGGGCCGGGCCACCCGCCCGGGTCACGGGTCGGGCCTTGCGCCGGGCCGGACCGGTTAAAGTTTTTTTTATAATTTATATTTTATAGTTTATAGTTTTATACAAGTATTAAAAACAAACTTCAAGTGCATTTATTTGAAATGAAATAGGAACTACATTTGAAAATTAAAACAAACTTTAAGAGAAGCATTTTGAAAATTGTAATCAATCGGAACTTCCCGCACCTCCCGATCCTTTGGCTTTGTCACATGACTTCATATGCTTCATTGCCATCCCGTATCCGCCTGAAACCCCCATGCTACATTTCCCCCCGCACCATTTGCAAGTTGCGTACCACATCCCGGTCTTCGGGTCCTTCTGCTTATCAAAGTTATACCGTATAATGGCATCTTGATTTTCCATCTTAACTTCTTAAGTATAAACTATAAAGTAGATATATAAATAATAAATATAATATATTGGAGAATAAGAGAATTAGAGAGTAGAGAGTTAATAATAGGATTTAGGAAGAATTGGAGAAGAGATATGAAAAAATGTTTATGATTAGGAGTATTTATAGGTTTTTTTACCCCCCAACCCCCCCACCCCCCGGACCCCCCCTGCACCCCACCCAACGGCTATATAGCCGTTTGGGTTGTCCCCAGCCCACCCCCAAGGCCATAACGGCTAGTTTGGGGCCCAACAATTTTTTTTTTAAATTGGACCGTTGGACCCGGACCCGGCCCCGGGCCCGACCCGGCTGGGCCGGGTCAACTTTTTCAGGAACCGTACCCGCCCCGCCCCTCCCCTCCGGTTCGGGTCTACACCCGGTCCCGGACCGCCCGACCGGGCCGGTCCCAGGCCCGCACAGTAGCGGGCCGGGCCGGGTCACGGGCCGGGTGGCCCGAACCGAATCCAACACTAGACCCGAATGATAGAAAACTATCAATCTAGGACCCGAATGATTGAAAACTATCAATTCAGGACCTAAGTTTTCATAAATTTTATTATTATTTTTATTTTAAAAAAATTAAATAATATTTAGTTTTATTAAACTAATAAACTTTTGTGAAGAAAATTTCACCAAATATTAGCAATGGAATTAATAAAAAATTAAATAAATCAAAACCTATGAAATGTTAGGTCCTAGATTGATAGTTTTTCATCTTTCGAGTCCTATACTGATACATTTCATCTTTCAGGTCCTGGATTGATAGTCCGTCTATATTTCAGGTCCTAGATTGATAAAATTTCTTTAAAAAAACAATCAAATCCCCGAAATTTAAAAAATGTTCAACTAGGTCATTTAGCAGGTTACCCGCTACGTCAACAGATCACCCACTGACGTGGCATACATGTGGCAACCTAGTCAGTATTGAATTTGCTGACATTGTGCACACATGGAAAAGCCATTTCCTGATGACGTACACACACGTGGACCGCCACGTGTGTGCCATGTGAGCGAGTGAGCTGTTGATGTGGCGGGTAACCAGAAGTTGATTTGTAAAGTTCTGGTTAACCTGTTAATTGAGTGACCCGTTGAGCGAGTGACCCGTTGACACATGGAAACGCCATTTCCTGATGGTAACCTGCTAATTGACTCAATGAAACATATTTTTAAAATTCAATAATGTGATTAATTTTTTTCAAAGTATGCGAATTAAATTAGCTTTTTCTTGATAATACAAGAATCAAAATCACAGTTTTTCCTTCAAATGAATACTTGTGTGAATCATGGATTGAGTTTAATAGTGTATAGGCAATTTTATCCACGAACGCCGTCGTTTGCGTGTTCCGCTTCTATTCAGAAGTTGGACTCAGTTTCTTGTCTGGGGCGCAAACAATCGAATGAAATGGCCGCTCACTGTGTCTCGACGATCCCGACTGCCACCGCTGGAGTCAACGAATTACGTCGCAGGAAGTCTGTCAAAATCGCATCACATGTATTCAACTTTCCATGGAACGGTGTTCCGACCCAAATCTCACTGCAATCTATCCATTCCAGATCCTTTCTTTCAAAGCAACCCATGAAGGCCACTGTTTCTCCCAGCCTCCCATATGCGTAAGTTTCTATGCACATTTTCCTTATCTGTGTACATTTTCTTCTTATCTTCATATTTCCGGAGGCTTTTGAGCTCGAATGTATACACTGAGGTTTGATTCTCTAGGTGTTGCCTATTTCCCCCCATAATTGTTTTATACAGGAATGAAGATGCAGCTGTTTCTATGGAGAATGTTCCCAAGTGAGTGCTTTCTCATTAGGAATTTATTTTTTCTTTTACCAGTAGCAGTTTGATTGAAAAGTAACATGATGAGGTTTGTTGAATTGGGTATTTTGGTGAATGAAATTGCAGATGGTCATCAAAGGCAATAAAGTCCTTCGCAATGTCCGAATTGGAAGCAAGGAAGCTCAAGCATCTTACTACAGGGACAGATGCCCTAATCTTGGGTATTCTTATTGAGGGTTAGTCAATTTCTTATAGGGAAAGTTCCCGAAATAGGACTAATTACTGCCGTGTTTAGAAAATATTGACATGTTTCATGTCTGGTACTGCCAAAACATGGCAGTAATTAGTCCTATTTTGAGAAAAAATATGGCAGTCCTATTTTGGAATTTTCAAATTGTTTTAGTCCTATTTCGGGTAATATCTCTTTCTAATAAGCATCCAAATGTTTTTTTTAAAGCTACCCTTTTATCAATTTCTCAATTTCCTCTGTTGATACACGATTTCTTTATGTGGAAATATGAATTGTTTGACGTCATTGCTGATTTTTTTGTGTGGTGGTGATGGTGGTGGGGGGGTAATTTTTTGGTGCACAATTAGGCAATCAGCATTGCACTTCTTTTTTCCCATCACTCCATGCATTGGCCATAATAGGACATCCATTCTAAATGCATTTTCAGCAGAAAATAATTAAACTCTTTTGCGGTAAGGAAATCTGGCTGTTACTAGTGCTTCTTTCCTTGTAGTCCAACAAAATTTTATAAAAGAACTTCTCATTCGTCAGTGTAATAGGAAAACAGTTGAAACTTTAGAGATCTTTTCTCAAAGAAAATAGTTTCTTGGGGTATCTGGTTGACCCGTTGGGTGAAGATTTTAGAAGAAAGTTGTATTACCTATATGGCTATATCAAACAAATGGCTTAGACCTTTTCGTGCTTAGTGTGCCTTAATCAGTCAATTGACATTTGACTGCCTTTTTCAGGCTTGGTATTCAGGGAATCAGGGGCGGAGCCAGACTTTAATATTTGGGTGGGGGGGCAAAATATATTACATGCATTAAATATAAAATATGTAGATAGCATAATGACACTCTGTATTCATACACTATTTTCATTTATAGTATTAAAAGTAAAAAACTTTATAGCTTAGAATGTCTTTCTTGCATGTCACAAATCTCAGAATTTGAAGATCAGTATTTAATGAAAGATTTGGCTGAGATTTAGAACCTCAAGATCCTTACTTTTAAAGAATGCATGAATAGTTTGTGGCTTTGTGCATCTTTCATCTACGCAAAAAAAGTCACATAAACTGTTTGCGATTCTTTGTTATGAAGCATTAGTCAGTCCATACAAATTGCGATGCGATTTTCATCATAGGACATTCAGAAACAGTCAGAAAGAGTCTCTCTGTGCTTTAGCACAACCGTACACGGGTAAAGATGCGTACATCCGAACTGCCTTACCCCACCGTAGGTGGAAACCTTTGGGGAAATGTTGTTGTTGTAGTAAAAACCAAAAAGCTAGGTAAATGGTAATGTTAACAGTTTAAACAAGGCAGTTGTAAGATTTTATTAGAAAACCTTAAGTATTACTCTGTACTAGGCTGCAGGCCCGTATCTTCATAATTTCCAAGCTTCCAGCCTTCCACAACTTGGATAGGAGCCGCATGCCTTAGCCGTTTAGGCTTTGAACTTTTCAGTAAAAAAAGTAGGTCACCTGGAGAACATAAACAATATTTAGGGCCTTTGTTTACATTGTCCTTTTAATTAGGATTAATTTGTTGGGCCTAAAAGTAGGAGCCTGCACATGAAGCACTACACGCCCTACACACAGGATTTTCTCATTTTCTCCCCCTAGGTCTGCATAACATTATTTGGGGGGCCAAAAAGATTAGTATAGTACTATAATTAAAAAAAAGGTGGGGGGCCATGGAGCCCGTATCTTTGAGAGCATCTCTGGTAGTATTCTCACACTTAAGCGGTGCCTTTTGTTGACTTTTAGAATTCAGACTTGGACTTAAACTTGTTCTAGGAAACATGTCCTTAGACTATATTTATTATTTCCATTCTTCTGGTCTTGTTCAAGAAACAACTAGTTTTTTTTTTCAGGGACAAATTTTGCTTCAAAGTATTTGTGGACCATAGGTATTACTCTTTTAAAAGTGCGCGAAGAAATCATCAAGGTTCGTGGTAAATCAGATTTTTTTAATTTCAGTGCTGAGCATCCTCCTTTGACTGAAGATGCACAAAAGGCCCTTAATTGGGCTCTGAATGAGAAGGTCAAAACTGGTAAGCTTCTTCTTTGCTAATTTGCTTATTTAGGGAAAAGTAAATAAAATGATGTTTTAGTGGTTGCCTTCCCCCCATAATCCAATTTGTTTCCTACTTTGATTAATTGGGGAATGTGTAGTTAGAAAATTTGAATCCTCTAGGGTTTTGGCATTTGTTAGCTTATTCTCATTTTTATAAACTTTTGCATTTAGCTTATTATTCATTTATCGTCCAGTATTGTCAAATGAATTCATCTCATTTATGCTAGTTTTATCCCCATCTTTCATCTAATATTCCATTTTAAATCGATTTATATCTAGCTTTGCCAAAACTACACCTGACTCGTGTATATATTACTCTGCAATTGGTTTTGAACTTAAGATGGCGTGTTTCAGATGGACCTGTATACTCGTTTTATTATACATTTTCAAGGGATAATTCAACAGTAACTATTTGGGGAAAGATGTTGCTTCATATTAACTAAAGCCATGTTTGGATAAAAGCTGTCTACCAAAGGAAGTACTTCATATAAGTTTTGGGAATTCCCAAACAAAACATGAATTGCAAAAACACTTTCGGAACCAGCACTTAACAAATTAACATGCGCCTCTAAAAGAGCTTTTAAAAGCACTTATAAAAATGTCCCCAACAAATATTTGTACAAATAAAAGAACTCTTAACCTACATTAAGTGCATAACAGGCTGCCCGAAGTACATCCAAACATTTTAAGCATTTCCAAGTTATTGAGAGAAAACAAAGAACCTCATGCTAAGTTTTTGGCAAATGGTTTATGTGTAGGAGGAAGTGGCGAGATCAGTCCTACTCATTTATTGCTGGGAATTTGGTCGCAAGAGGGTTCAACAGGTCACAAGATATTGGCTGCTCTAGGCTTCAACAATGAAAAAGCCCAAGAGTTGAGAGAATTGATTTCCAAACCTGATTTTGAGTAGGACTAATGATTGGTTACTCAAGGCTTCCGTTTAAGTTCACAATATTAATCCACAATGGGCTTACTGCTTCATATAATATGTGCGGCCTTACCAGAATGTGAGCTATGAATGGTTGTAGTCTTGTATCCCATAGTGGTGTTTGTACCTTGTTTAGGGACGGATTACATGAAACTTGTTTTGTGATTAAATTCATGTGTAAAATAATAATTATATTCAATACGTTGGTGTTTGGTACGCGTATTGTGATTTGTTAGGCAATAGGATATGTAAGATTACAAGAACAAGATATTGGCGTCAAGGGAGCCTTGTGCGTTACTGTGTTGCCGTATTACAGTGTTACAGGGAGAATGATTGCTTGATTGGGATCAAATTCCAATCAAAGTCCCGCTTGGTGTACATGTCGGGTTACACGCCGGGTTACACGTCGGTTAAATTGTTTGTATACAGACAATCGATTTTCATACCGACAAAATATTAAGAGTTGTCTGTATCACAGACATTTAAACCTAAATTTTTCATAAAGTGTCTATGATACAAACATTTTTTTTATTTTTGTCTGTGTGAAAATCGGTTTTCTTTGTAAATCGCTGCTCAATATGTCTGTGTAGTCGATCAAATTGTCTGTACACAGACAATTTGACAGACGTGTAACCTGGCGTGTAAAACTTGTCGTGTACAAAAGGAATTTATCTTCCAATTGAGATATGAAAAGTATATCAAAATCAATTAGTACGTACGCGTGAATAATATGATTTGAACTAGTATCATTTACGAATCACAATTCAAAAAATCTAGATTTTGAGCTTTAACTTTTTATAGAAAGGAAGTACTTTAATGAAATTATATTTTAAGATATAAAATTTCCATCCCTGGAACACGTTGTTCAGCATAATCAACAAATGTATGTCACTCAAGCACACCAGATTCGACAAGTCCAATATTGCAATCATCATGCTCTGATGCTCATCCAGTCATCCACGGTATTATCTTTAACAAGAAATATGACTTCACGGTCTTCACCATACGTAAGGATGTGTTTCGGAGTTGAGTTTCGGAGTGGAGGGGAAGATTGATGGGCGCCTGGGTGACACCACCTAGATGCCCATTTCGGGCCACCCCAGTTCCCAACCCCTCTCCCTAATGTCCACAGCCCCACACACCACCACTCCCTATACCCCGCAACACTGTCATTCAGGGGCGGACCTCTTTTGTTCAAGAGTGTTCTTGTGAACACCCAAAATTTTGAAAAATAAAATGTAAAAATACATATATAGAATTGATGTAATAATTCATATATTGATTTTTATGTAATATTTCTTGCTCTTAAGCTTATCTTTGGGATTTTAATGTTGGAAAATTTACATTTTTCAATTGGTGGACCAAACAATATTATTGTGCAATAGGTAAAATTATTTTGAACACCCTATATCCGGTTGCAAGATCCGCCACTACTGTCATTGCCGACCCAATCCCTAACCGTTGTACCTCACCCCATAAGTTCATAACTCATCGGCGAGACGATTGAAGAAATAGATAAAGAAAAAAGAAGTTGTGTGTGACAGTGAAAGCGCAAGCAAGGCCAGAGGTGCAACGACGTAGGCGGCTAGGAGCCGCATTTGACGTCGACAGTGCTAGCCACTGGGACTCTGGGAGACAAGGCGGTGACGGTAATGTTGGGCTGCTGATCGACCGTTTTTCAATCTCGTTTTGTTCTAGATTTAAAAATAGTCCCGTTTATTCTTTGAAAAAAACTTATGATATTATGTTTGCTATTGTTTCTTTATGTAAAAGTAATCAGTAAAAAAAGGTAAATGCTGCACTTGAACAAATACTAAAAAAAATCAAATATTCATACAAAGTACTACCTCCGTCCCACTAACATTGCTACATGAAAAGGTGACACTTTTATTAAGAAAATTGAGTTTATGTGATAGATTGCGAATTGATAAACTACACAAATTTAACCAAATTTTGTATGAGAATATTAGTAGGATGGATAGAAAAGGAAAGATGGGACAATCTTAGCGGAACGGATGGAGTAGTTAAAAATAAGGGAAAACTGTCAAATAGGTCCTCGAACTTTCATAAAAAGGTCAATTAAGTCCTTCTATAGGAGGTTCTGTCCGGCCGTCGCTATTTGGGGCAGTTCTCGGTGGAATTTTTTTATGATTTTTTTGAGCATCTTATTCACTAAGTCTAGTTTACTCATAAAAAATGTCAGCTAAAAATTCAATCAGGAACTCATTCAAATTAATTCTTGAAGATAACTGCGCATTTTTGCGTTCTCGAATTAATTTGAATGCACTCCCGATTAAATTTTTAGCTGAAATTTGGTATGCGTAAACTAGACTTGATGAATAAGATGCTCAAAAAAATTCATCAAAAAATTTCACCGGGAACCGCCCCAAATCGCGACGACCGGACAGAGTCTCCTATAGAAGGACTTAATTGACTTTTTTATGAAAGTTCGAGGACCTATTTGATAGTTTTCCCTAAAAATAATTATACTCCCTCCATCCCTTAAAATTTTGACATCTTTCCTTTTTGGGACGTCCCAAAAAACTTTGTCACTTTCCCTTTTAATCAATTATTTTGTGATTTTTGTTATTTCTCTCTCCTCTGCACCAACCTCAAGCACACAGTTTTTATTTTATTATTCTCCGTGCCGGTCAACTTTGGCAAAGTTTTAAGGGACGAGGTAGTATGAAGTGTGACATTTCAAAACTCATCCTCACGTTACAAAGGCCATAGATTGGAAGAAATTTGATTAATGTAAGTACAAATTCAATGTAGCTACAGTACAATATGTCAATATCATATAACTCATGTTGTGAGCTTTTTAAAACCTCTCTCTATGAGTTCCTATACCGACCGGTATAGGGTGAGCACCGTATACCGGTACGGTTTTATCTTTTTTTTTTTCCTTTTTTTTTTAAAAAATGGTAATAACTTTTTTATTTTTGATCCGATTTTTATAAAATTTATATCAATATTTTTTATTTTTCATGATCTTTCAAATGAGACCAATATTGTCTATGTAATTTTAACATATTAACATTTGCGTGTAAAATATGTAACTTTACGTGTTAAAATATGTAACTCACGGTCAGTCAGGTCAAATGCAACTCGTGTGTATAAATATGTATCTCTACGTGTAACAATATGTAACTTTACGTAAAAAAATATGTAACTCGCGTTCAGACAGGTCAAATGCAACTCGTGTGTATAAATATGTAACTCGCGTGTATAAATATGTAACTTTACGTGTAAAAATATGTAACTTTACGTGTAAATATATGTAAGTCGCGTTCAGGCATGTCAAATGTAACTCGTGTTTATATATATGTAACTCGCTTTTAAAAAGATGTAACTTGCTTATAAAAAGATGTAACTTGCTTATAAAAAGATGTAACTTGCTTATAAAAAGATGTAACTCGCTCATAAAAAGATGTAACTCAATGTATTATCAAATGTAACTGAGGCCACTGATCCACTCCCAAACAGATTCAATCTTCTATTTCACAAACCTATCATCTCCCTAACAGATTCGATTTTCCTTATAATCCAATACTCATTAATATAATAGTTCGATAATTTCTTAACATTACATAAGCGATATTGGTCTCATTTGAAAGATCATGAAAAATAAAAAATGTTGATATAAATTTTATAAAAATCGGATCAAAAATAAGAAAGTTATCATCATTTTTAAACAACAAAAGCAAAAAAAAAGAGAGAGAGAATGAAGCTGCGTCGTTTTGCAACCGGGCGCACCATCCTCATGGTGCGCCGGTTGCACGGTATAATTTGCCTCTCTCTATGTATATACGGAGTATATTTGTCAATAGTTTTAAAAATAACTATTCTGACTTTTATTTATGTGATTTATTGGAAATTAGGGATTCATATTTTGAAAATTTTCTAAAGTGAGATTAGATTAAAAATAATACAGTACTATGAAATTTTAAGACAAGAGTCTTTTTATGTAATTCTCACTTAGTACGAGCATTGTAATCTTGAAATCATATTAAAATAATTTGGCATTACCACACATTAATAAGAGCTCATACTCCCTCCGGTTCTCAAACAACTTCCCACTTTCTTTTTCGGGAAGTCCCGAAAATAACTTCACACTTCTTCTTATTTCCTTATTTGGCAAATTATCTACACCAAAATAGTGCAAAACAGTGCCAAACAGTGTCCAAATAGTGCCAAATAGTGCTCATAATGTTTGGAATATAGAATTATGATTTTGGAATATCACATTATTCCCCAAATAGGAGTAAAACATGGACAAGATGCAAAAATAGGAGTACCATGTTTTGAATAGGAGTAACTTTAATGTTTGGACAAATATACCCCTACCCAAGTCCCAAGACCAAACAACTTTCATTAATAATTAAAACATAAAAGAAATAACATTAATTAGTTTATAATAAAATTTTAAAAAAATAAAAAAACACAAAAATATATATTAGTTAAAATATAATCTGTATTAAATAAAATTAATAAAAACAAAAAACTTATTAAAATAAAAAATATTAAATAAACAAACTAAAAAAATTAGAATACAAAAAATGAAAAAATATGCAGGCATCTGCCGCCGCCTCAACAACCTCCCAGCACCACCAGCTTCGACCACCGAAAAAAATGCCAACATTTTTCCAAAATGTCATCATGATGGTAGCTTTCGAGAAAATTTGGCATTTACAAAGAGTAAACTGCCATCTCTATGACATTTTCAAAGAAAAATGACAGTTTCTAAACAAAATACTCCGCCGATCGGAGGTGGCATTGATATGGGGTGGCCGAGGCTGCGGGAAAGGCCTTCAGAATATTCTTATATTTTTAATGTGTTTTATCTATTTTTTTTTATTTAAAAAGTTTTTATGTTTTTTAATTTTTATTATTTTAATACTTCTTGAAAATATTTTAGATTTTTTTATATTTTAATAGGATCAAACAAGTCATTTTTTAGAATTAATTAGATTAGGGGTATTAAGGGTAGAAAATTAATGTTTACTCCTATTGAATAAAGTTTTAGGTTTTACTCCTATTGATGCAATTATGTTTATATTTACTCCAATATTGAGCAATTTCTATTTGTTTTCTTATTTATATTAAGGCAATTTAACACATTCTATAAAAAAATCAGTTGCAAAAGTATTCTTCAACACATCAAGATACTAATTTCATACACAATATAAACTTTGAAGGACAAATTTATGCTTATTAATTTGATAACATAGATATTAACTTGATACTAACAAATATGGAGTATAAAATTTAGGGACAGGTTAGCTTATTAATTACGTTCTAAGGAAGTACCTTATCTATCTTACTAAT